ACCATATCTTCTTCCACATTCTGTTCATGCATTTATCAGTTAATTCCTGCCAAGTGAAGTCAATATTGCCTATGGCATCCATAATGTTATATTGTTTCTAAAATTGCACTAAACAAACATAGATTTTGAGGAAGTACAGTACTACGACAAATTGCCACCTTTTGCAAATTGGTTCATGTTCAAGAATAATCATATTACTGATATATACAGATTAATAAAATGCCAGGATAATTTGAATCAATGTAAATTTTGACTTGTTTTTTAGGCTTCAAGCAGACACGGTTATATCAAATTATATTGAATGTTAATCAAGAAAGCGCTAAATGAGGTCTTACTGTATCAGTGAATTAATTCTTGAATTAAATGTTAACACATACACTACCGATATTTGAATTCTTCATAAAACAATATAGACATATTAAATTCTTATGATGATTTGAGCTCTCACAAATTAAAAATAAGCAATGATTATACAGATGTTGTATAAGATGCAATCAATTTACATAAATAATTTATTACAGAATTACCAGTTTTTAAAAATTCTATCCTTTTTCATTTTCTTTGATTTTCTTGAACAAAATAACAATTGCTTACCAATATGTTTCTGTTACTGCTTGTTATGGTAGCCAAATTATGTTATTCTTATGTTGTTATGTTAATCATCTTAATTTTGAATGTTCGTTTTATCTTTATTTTCATCTTTGCATATTTTAACAGTTTTCATTCATATGTCAGTTTTCAAAATATGCTCTTGCCTTTTAAGTTCAAAAATACTCTATAACACAACAAAACAAATATATTCATTCTCTTCTAGTTCAATGTCAGTTATTCTGAAAATTTACAACTGTTATCAGGTGAAGGTGGGGGTCGGTGTTGCTCACATCTGTAGGTTTAACCATAAAGTACCCTACAAGTGACCCCTGGGTGGTGTTAAGCGAGCAACAGTCTTCTGGCAGCCAGTCTATCTGAAAAGATCTCCTGGCTACTCACACATGACACCACAAACTTTCAAAAACAATTTTTCTGGAAGCTCTTTTAAGAGCTCTTTTGGGAGCTCAGGGCCACATTCCCAACTACTTGGAACCACCATGCAGATATGCCAGCTTAACATAGAGGATATAAGCAAATCAAAGTGTGAATATCTGTCAAAATTGGGCAATAATGTTGATGTGGTTGCCGTCCAAGAGACTCATGTCCCAAATGAAGATCAGTATCCGGAAAAGATGCCACATCTCAGGATTCACTGCAATAGGCATAACACATGACAGTTCTTATGGTGTTGTAGCATATGTATGCAATACCATCCAAAATGTCAACTTACTGTTGCAAAGTGTACAAGAAAACATCCACATGGTCATAATGAAAGTGAAGAATGTGACGATCACAAATGTCTATAAGCCACCTGGTCTTGCTTGGCCAGAAACAGTTCTATCCTCCACTGTACATCCTTCCATCTATGTAGGAGACTTTAACAGCCACAGTGAAAAGTGGAATTATGCAATTAGTAATGAAAGTGGCTTGAGACTCACTAAATGGGCAGAAATACACAATCTAGTATTGATATTTGATGCCAAAGACAAAGGGACATTTAGATCTGGAGAAGAGATTATAATCCAGATCTGTGCTTTGTGAGCTGTGGTGAAAGGGGCCACCCTATGCCCACTATGAGAAAGGCTTCCCACAGAGCCAACATAGGCCAGTATTGCTTGAAATCGGCATCACTATTCCTTTGATAAAATCTACCCCTCACCAAAGATTGAACTTTTTAAAAGCTAACTGGGAGCTATTCTCCACTAAGCTAGAGAGGTGCATACATTGGATCCCACAAAAAAGCAATGGCTACAAACGTTTCATTGGAGCAGTGTTGTGTGCTGCTAAGAGGAGTATACCAAGGGAATTTCAGAAGGAATATATTCCTGGATGGACAGAAGAGAGTGAAATGCTCTTCAGTGAGTTTCAGGAGAGTGACGATCCAGAAATTGCTAATGCACTTCTGTCCAGTCTTGATACCACCCAAAGACAAAAATGGATCAACACTGTTGAAAATTTAAATTTCATTCATTCCAGCCAAGCAGCTTGGAGCCTTCTTAAAAATCTAGGAGGGAATGCACCTGTAACTAAAGAACAGTCCAAAATCACACCTGACCAAATAGCCAACCATATTATCTTAAAATCCCGAATGCAACCTGATGAAAACCACACTAAATTTGTGAAACGTCAACTTAGAGCTCTGAAAACAAAGGCAGCATCTGTATCAAGCTATGCTCGACCTTTCTCAGTTGAAGACATAGATATGGCTCTGAAGAAATTAAAACCTGGTAAGGCCCCCAGCTTTGATGAATCCATCCTGAGTTCTTAATACATACTGGCAAGAACACAAGAAAATGGTTAGCACTGTTTTTCACAGACATACTCCAAAATGGTATACTTCCACAAGAATTTAAGAAATCTAAAATAATAGCCATTTTAAAGCCTGGAAAACCATGTGACAAACCAGAAAGCTTCCAACCCATAGCACTTCTCAGCTGCTGCTACAAGCTCTTTGAGAGGCTCATCTACAATAGAATCAGAAGCACTATTCTAGAGTATGTACCATCAGACCAAGCGGGTTTTAGACCAAACAGAAGCTGTTGTGATCAAGTCCTTTCTCTTATGACCCATAGAAGCAGGCTTTCAAAAGTGCCTGAAAACCAGTGCTGTATTTATTGATCTTCCTGCAGCATTCAACACTGTCTGGAGAGGGTGTGATATACAAACTTTTACAGATCATCCCATGCAGAGCAACAGCCCATATCATTAACAGCATGCTTTGCAATAGGAAATTTCAAGTCTTTCTGGGGAATAAAATGAGCACAGGTAGGAAGATATGCAATGGACTACCTCAAGGATCAGTGCTCTCACCTTTACTATTTAACCTATACATTTCTGATCTCCCAATTATTACATCAAGAAAGTTCTGCTATGTGGATGATATCACAATAGCTGCACAACATAGTCGATTAGCACAAATTGAAGAAACTTTGGAACACAATCTGGAGAGCCTGGAGTACTACTTCAAAAAATGGCAATTGTCTCAAGTGCCACCAAAACAGAAATGTCCTGTTTCCACCTGAACAACCAAATGGCAAATACAAAGCTGAATGTCTCTTTCTGTAAGCAATCTCTTAGATATAATATGTACCCTAAATACCTGGGAATCACCCTTGATCGTACTCTGTCTTTTAAGATGCATCTAACAAATGTTGCTGGCAAGCTTAAGAACAGGAATAATATAACACAGAAGCTTTGTGGAACCATGTGAGGATCAACTGCTAACACCTTGCGCTGCTCAGCTTTAGGACTGTTTTACTCATGTGCTGAGTATTGTGTCCCTGTCTGGCTGAATAGTCCCATACAAGATTGGTAGATATGCAGCTTAATGTTACAATGTGCCTGATTTCTGGTACCATACAATCCACACCAACACTTTGGCTACCATTATTGGCAAGAGTCATGCCACCTGATATCTATCTAAGAAATGCACAAGCACATTGTGCCTTTCTTAGATATCACCATTCAGCTTACTAAAAACGGTATTGAAACAAGAGTTTACTACAAACCTGGATACCTACCTCTATACATACCGACAAAATCTGAAGACCTGTATCAATATACGATTGCAACATTCAGAGCATTAACAAATTGGGCATTCACTCACAATTCTAAATGGGAGGACACGGTCAAAGAACTTAGACACATACAAAACATTGCCGCAGATCATGGATACAAAAGAAACCTAATCCACGATTTAGCTCGTAACTTCCTCACTATAAATGCAGGGCCTCATACCTCCACAGAACAGGGAGGGGTCCAATTTGAGTCCCGGCCAGGACCCAAACAAGAAACACACAGTTATACAATACAACAAAAACCTGCATTCTCTTTACAAGGAAATAGCACAAAACAAAGGCACCAAATTGGTGTACTTGAGAACACAAACTTATTTACTTGCTTATGAAGAACAAGAAAGACACACCGGATAATTGGAAAGCACCAGGGTGTACAGTATCCCAATAAGGAATCACAGATTCCAAAGAGATCTTGTTTACATTGGATCCACCTAAAGATCTGTTCAAAAAAGGGTTGCTGAACATAAATATGACATCGACAAAAAAAAAAAAACACCACCGCCCTGTCATCATATGCCATGGACCCCAATATAACAGCCAACTTAAATAGCACCAGCTCATAAAAAAGTCATTCAAAATACACCACATCAGGGCCTTGGAAACCCTTGAGATTTATAAAGCAACCAAGTCATGGGTTAGTATAAATTTCAAGGATAGTAACATAATATCTTATGCGTGATGCTATATTTGTGATGAGCATCCACACAAGTAATCATATATTATTCCTTGGAAGATGGTCCACATTATTATTATGGAAGACTTCTGTCTACTTAATTAATTCAAAATATTTGATATTTATTACATACTAGAGAAGATTTAATTTTTTGTATTCTCAGCATTCCATTTTTAGAATGACAATGAACCCGATGAAGATCTTGGTTAAAGATCAAAAACATTAGTTCAGTGACTTTATTCTTTTTGTACCAGAAATTTAAAGGTTTTGGATCTGTTATTGTTATATGTACCGGTATTTATTAGTATATGTTGTNAAAGTAGTCAATGCCCCAAATTATATCTTTTATGCCAAACGAAAAAACGGGTAGCCAAATTTGGTGCAAAGTAGCCAAATCTTGCAACACTGGAAAGAATACTAAATAAAGCTAGAGTTGGGACTCAAAGAATTAATTAATCAGGGCTTTCTGCTCCTAAGCTTTCCATATCTGGTCTTGACATTCATCTATCTAACACCATTTTTGAGATTAAGGAAGGACAGACAGATGACAGTGGGAATTTATAGGTCTACAATTTTTTCAAATTGCAGCCCAATAATGTAATATTATAATGTATCACATTAATATGCATTATTGCTATTTTAAATTTATTAATATTTACCTTAGTTTTTGCTGTTATAGGAGCTCCCTTTTCCAATAGTAAATCAACCACTTGATCATGGCCACTACGAGCTGCACAATGCAAAGGTGTCAATCCATCCTAAATTATATTATATTTATATTCAGAATTACATCATTCAATTTAAATTAATTTCAAATAAAACATAAAATATGAAAAAGTTTTAATAAAACAATTAATTGATCAATGAAGTATAAAAAATTAGCCTGTTATCTAACATTTTCTGTCAATTGTATACTTTTATATATGTGAAGTCCTGGATGGAATTAAAAATTGCATGCTAGAATGTTAACAAGTGTCTGATGAGGCATTTAAGTCATTTAAACTCCTACTTTTGAATGAAAAAAAAAAATACTATAGTAAAAAAATTTATTTGATTAAATAATGTCTTGCAAAGACTATTATAAATTCTTTCTGTCAAAAAAGTAAACATTAAAGACTTGAATTACAAAGGGGAGTTTCAAAGCATCAGGTTGAACATCGATGCCAAGCTTTCTTGTGGCCTATAATCTCAGAAACTGTCACCTGGAGACAGGATGAGCCAATCAAAAAGTGATGTAGAATATCATCAATCAATCAGAATGTGGAACCAAGAAGAGAACATTTTAAAAGCTCGTGTCTCAAGGACATGAGCTTTTTTCTCCAACATGACATTCTTTCTCCAAGTTCCACGTTCAGTTCTCAAGACTTAACCCATACAAGTTCTCATCATAGATCTGTCCTTTCTTACCAATCAATATCCTATCAGGATAGATTCCAACCACATAAACAAAATTTAAATTTACTGTATTGTGCTTTTTGACAGCCATCTCAGCCAATCCCACTTTCCTAACTGATCCGAAACTGCCACCAAATGAAGTGAGCCCAAAACCATCGACATGGATGGCTTATGTGTCGATGGTTTTGGAGCCCAAGTCATCAGAGACTGATCGTCAACATTGACAGTGGCATTTGGACTCTCTTCTCTCTTTATAAAATGACCAATAAACAAATTTTGTAAGCATGTTTTTATTTTAATTAAATAAGTTTAATTGTAAATGGTATTCCTGACTCAGTGTCCAAATCGCATCCCCATATGACCTTCTCAACACTCATCCGTCCTAACAAGTGCACTCCATTGACAATTCCACATATAAATGTAACTTAAGTTTAATTTTTAACAAATAATACTAAAATTGCCTCCAGTTATAAATAAACTCAAAACTTCTATTGTTTCATTTTCAAAAAAGTAGCACAATCATCATTAAAACTATAACATAATAGACATAAAATAAAATTATACAGTATCAAACACTACTTACTCTAGTAGAAGCATCAATTTTTCCATTATTCTCTATTAATAATGTAACCATGTTTGTCTTTCCCCATTTAGATGCAACATGGAGAGGTGTAATTTGATGCTACAAGTAAAATGAATATAGCTTATTAAAAATTAAATATGTTTTAAAAATAAATCTTTAAATCTCAAGTAAAATAAAATTTACCTTTGCAGCAAAATTTACATCTGCTGATTTTTCTAGTAGTAAATGAGCAATGTTTTCATTGCCGTAATGTGCAGCAATATGTAAAGGGGTAAATCCACTCTAAAATTAATATCAAAGTTTAAAATTAACTTTTCTCAAAATAAAAAAATCAAATAAATGAATAAGTTAATATAAATTTATATAAAATTTATGAAAAACTAAGATATTAAAAGCAAAGTAACATACATTAAATGATTAGTTTCAAGCTCTAGTTTGTTGAAATTACACTACAAATTATACAAAATGGCTAAAGCTCATCATTCATTTCCTTACATGAATATCCACATTTTAGAAATTCTTCAGCATATTTCCTTTTTCTTAAGTTGTTGTCTTTTTGGATAATTTAGTTTTTTAATATTAGCAATTTACTCTTTGCATTATTTTGGTTTTGATGTTTTTTTTTATAAATACAAGTTTCTTATTCTGCTGAATTTTTCTTAATAAATCAAACTATATTTCTGAACAAAATGATAAAATAAATATGTTAGTAGTTTTTTGATAAGTATATAATTTTTGCTATTTGAATTTATCCAACAAGCATGATGCAGCATCCAACTATCAACTTTGCTCACTGGACAGAAAGAATCCCTTTCTTAAGACATTCCAGCACCTCATAATAGTAATGTTGGTTGACCATTTGTCTTTTTCCAGTGTCATCCATTTTTGCTGAACATGATCTTCCTTAGTGGGGTTGATCTTCCACACTTTCATAACTTCTTCCAATGCCTTATGCCATTTAAACAGTTGTGCCCTGGATAATAAATACTATTTGTAGACCCATTTCACTTTTTTGTTTTTGTTTCATTTTTACCAAGGGCTGTATTCTGGTCACTCATCTCTCATCTATTCTTTCAAGGATGAATGACGTCAAAACAAGAGACGAAATTCGTCTATCAGAGACAGCAGCAATTCTGGTCACTTTTAATGACCTTGTCTTTGTTGATGACATCACAATTCTACTAGGTTGATTATACATGTTTGGGATATCTGTGCACACAATACATATAGAATTTTAGAATTATAGGTATAGAATTTTAACCAATGAAATTGTAAAATTTTCAAAAATGCAGAGTATGTAATTATAGATCACATGGCAAGGAAAGCACATGTTCATATAAAGCATGTAATTTTGATAAAGATATGTTTTTTGTTTTATAAAGTTTTGTAATAGATTGTAATGTCAATTTTTCTCTTAACAAATAAAAATTTTAATAACCTAAGTTAGAAAAATGTGCGTACTTAGATATTTTTTGAAATATTACCATTTAATTTCTCCTTAACTATCTAAGTACGATTAACATCATATTCAATAGTTCAGTAATTGATGTAGGATAATTAAAAAAAAACAAAAGTGGAATCAGTGGCGTTTCTGAGCAGGCACTAGAAAAAATCGGAAGCATTTTCTCTCTCAAAATATTCTTTCCCGAGATAGAGAATGTTCTCTAATACAATTTTACAGTGCAAGTAGCATCCAGTCATCCATGTTGGATATAACGAAATTGAGGCAAAAGACGAAAGACGGGTCATAAGACAACTATCCACCTGTCTTTGAGAAATGAGAGAATCTTCAAGAAAAAAAGTTACCCAGAATCTCTTTTGGAGAGACGCGATGATCTCTCAAGACATAAACAAATGATTAGCCAACCAGCAACCGGCTTGTGAGAGACGAGAGACAATGACCAGAATACAGCTCCAGGTCTCATCAGAACTTGATTGAACAACACTGTTTTAAATGCCATTGTTCTATTTACATAATGAAACATTTGTACACGCACTAGAGTAAATTGCTCTAGAACAAAATGTTATACCACTAATATGCTGCAACTTGCATTGAAGGTTAAGTAAAATGGCTATTTTTGGATGGTGTCAGTTCAGTTGCTACAGTATTGCCATTTTGTTTGCTATGAACAGTGTCTCATTGCTTTTCTACTGTACTTCATATATTGTAACAGTAAATGGCAAGTTCATCAAAAAACAAGCCAAACTTGACAAATATTTTATGAGTACTAAGAGGTTTTGTCACTTGTTCAAAAATTTCATGGCAATTCACTTATTTCTGGTGCCATTGTTTTTATTTAATTTTTCTTTCATGATAGCTTAAAATCGTTAAAAACATTTTTCAAGTGTATTATAGATATATAGTAGATACAACTTAATGTAGATATGTAAATAGTTTATATATATATATATATAAACTCAGTTTATTTTTCCTTTTATATGCTGTTCAAATCTTTTCACAAACACCAGATAATCCAACAAAAATGTTTAATAATATAATCAAACAGATCAACCTGATAAAATTGTTTTCAACAATTTTATCAGGTTGATTCAAAAGTTCCTGGACACAGATGCAAGATAAAAAAACTTTATTGATATTAAAGTAAAAAAACATGGTCACTTTTCAAAATAAAGGCAGTTGTTAGCTATGGTCTTGACCCACCTTTTTTTGCAAATTGTTGGATTCTATGGCAATACCACTTGGCTGGTTTTGATGCCAAAACTCATGAACCCCATTTTGGACATCATGCACTATATTGAAAAAACATCCTCACACAAAATGTGCAAACAATTGGAAGAGCTGAAAATCAAAGGTTAGATCAGGGCTTTATGCTAAATAAGACAGAACTTTTATCCCCTTCAGCTCCTCTAACTTTTCTTGGACCATGCTGGAATGGTGTGCCAGAGCATTATCATGTTTCAGCAGTGTATGGTTTTGATTAAGCAATGCTGGATAGCAAGTGTGCAAGACTTCAAACACTCTTTCCAGTTGCTCAGCATAAAGGTTGCCATCCACAGCCCAGCCATTAGGAACCAGTTCCAATGTACTGGACTGTCCAAATTCCACCAATAATCATCTAGATCAAGGCTTATCTACAAGGCTGGTGTTCCCAGAATTGAAGCAGCAGAACCATTCAGCTGCAATTATCTTGTTCATCAGGCCTAGGCCTACAATTTTGCAAATTTTGTCTGCTACTACCTTTGCACTGAACCTTTGTTTCCAGTAACAATGCAACAGGCCTTGAATGATGAGTTTTTCATCAGTCATTTTTTGTTGTGGTTATTACAAAATTAATAACTAAAACCAACAATTTTAAACTGGCTTTCAAGAGAAACCACACCATATATTCCATATTAAGGAATTCTAAGGAACTGATGGAAGGCACATGCCTACTAGCATCTACTCCATCCTGCTTATGGATGCACAATTTAATAAAAATTTAGCATATATTAAAGTTACTATTAGACCTTTAGAGAAAAGAATCAAAGAACATAGCTACACCATAAAAAAGGGCCTTTCTTTATTATTCTCAGTAGCATATGCACTTTAAGTGTATATGCTACTGAGAATAATAAAGTTAGTATCTTTGACCAAACCTGGATCATTAATCCTACCTGTAACTTCTCATACTTAAAACATCTAGAAAGAATGGAGATTTATAAAGCTGCTTCTACGGATCTGGCCATTAATTAGAGAAAATTTCCTTTTAATGATATGAAACCGTGCTTTGAAATTTGTTTCTGCTTCTAACACAATAAAGTGCTATAAATTAAGACACTTCGCGGTTTTTTTTCATCTTTATTTAGTTGAGACGTGTGAAAACATTTTTACACAAGAGAGAGGTAAAGAAAATTTGATAATTTCTCCCATACCTGAAGATCCTTATATGAAAAACATTTTTGATCCTATGTATAAACCATTACTGAGCGAGACAACATCAGTCACTATGTAAATACTTTATCAAACAGAAATTGGACACTTTTTAAAAGAATCTAATTCTATCAAATTTTGCACCTTTGTGTCCTTATCTTATAGTTTTGTACTTAAATTGTCTACTAGGACTTATATACCAGTGACTAATTCTGAAAATTAATTAAGAAAACAATTCAGAAAAAACAGTCATTATTTTTCATGTGAGGTATAATAATTCTGGTGATAATAATAATTTTAATAATAATACCTGAGGTATTATAATAAGTCCTAGTAGACAATTTAAGTGCAAAACTGTAGTTTATCTTCCATACATATTCTTTAACTTGAAGATGGCAATTTAAAATTGTTGAAAATATTTATTTTATTAAACATTTTTGTTAGATTTTCTGTTGTTTGTGAAGAGATATCTCATCCAGTTATTTAGCATTGTTATTGAAACATATTAGGCATATATATATGAAGTAAGTTGAAACTTTTTTTATCAAAAATCCAGCAATGTGTTTCTTAATTTTCCTGGCAACATTTAAAACTGAGTTTGTAATGCCATCTGTTATGATATTTTATTATTAAAAACTTTTTATATTTTTAATTATTACAAAATGGTAAAAAGCTTAATTTTGAGAGTAGGAATGGGTTTTATAAAAAATTGCAAATGCTAATAATGAGTAAAATTGTCATTAAATCCAACTCCACTCAAGATATGACACACAGTATCCCTTTATCTCCCCACTTCATCCACCTATAACTACCAAAATTTAATATCATCAATCCCCTAATACACGAACCTGCCTACAAAATTTCAGAAATTTTTCACAAAATGCACAGGAGTTATTAAGCTTCAGTTTTCCATAAGAAACAACATAAAATTGATTAATTTGTTCCCGACCTCAAAAACAAAACCTTTTTTGTTTTTATTTTTTTAGCTATATTTCATGCATAAAAATGCCTATAAAGGCAATATAATATTATATATATATTAATATTTTACAGGACTGTGGAGTCGGAGTCATGGAGTTTTGGCATTTTAGTCGGAGTCATCAAAAAATTCGCCAACTTCAACTCCTTTTTACTTCCCAACTTGTTATGTATATAAAACGGAAAAGTATTGGAATTGTGTCAAATTTGACCCTCCAGGTTTTTTTTAACAAATCTACACATTTGGAGAACTCTCAAACCCCTCAAAAAAGTCAATAAAAATTCAGAAAAAATTCACGTGCGCGTGTGTGTTGGTGTCTAATTTGTTTAACTTCTTTATTTTCTGTTCTGAGATATTGTTTAATATCTCAGAACAGAAAATTCCCATTCTGAGATATTAAACAATATCTCAGAATGGGTAAAGTTTAAGAAA